ATATATATACGTATATATAAAATATATACTTATATATAAATATTTGTATGTGTTTATACGTATAAATAATAAAATACAGATATAGTGACGCAATTGCGTCACTAAAAGGTGACTAAATTGCGTCACCAAAGGGTGACGCAACTATTTGCGTCACTCTTGCGTCACCTTTTTTCGTGACGCAAATTTTGCGTTATTTTTTGCGTCACCGTTTAGTGACGCAACTATTTGCGTCACTATTGCGTCACTATTTAGTGACGCTTTAGTGACGAAAATATTGCGTCACTATTTGCGTCACTTTTGCGTCACCATTTTAGTGACGCAAATTTTGCGTCACCTTTTGCGTCACCTTTTCCGTGTTTTCTAGTAGTGAACTTTGGCGCCACGCACAAAAGAATCGTTTGATGATAACAAAAAAAAAAAGACGACAATCGCGGTGCAGAAGGAAGTATTCTCGGGAATAACTATGATTCATCCGAGATTGAAAGACAACAACGTGAAAGCGTTTAATGACAACAAATTTTTTGGCAAGAATAAGATGGCGGTTATGCGAATAATCTTTAGAAACATGTGAGATTATGAGAGAAAATTAAAAAAAAAAAACAAAAATAAAATGACTCTCTTATTCTTAACAAAAAATCTCGAAATGATATTACCACTGGATCGGTATATCATCATCTTCATCTTCACTTTCATTATCGATCATCATTTTTATGAAAAAAACAACAAATTAGAAAAGAACCAGAAGCTCTGATACCATAGAAATTTGCGGAATTATATTTTTATTGATAACCAAAATAACATATAAATATATGAGAATCTTACATTGAATAATGATAAATATTTCTAAATATATATTTTCCAGATTTAATAAGATCTTCAATATACGATATATCTCGTAATATTCTTCAAGATCCGGTATATCTCAACACAAAGGTCGGCCAACTTCCGGATTATAAAAAAAAACATCTCAACGTTAAAAAGAAACAATAAAAATATATAATCGAAGAGTATATTATTCGTTAAAGCCCCGTGGCTTCCATTATGAATTCGCCGCTTTAAAAAAAATATACAACAGAACAAAAACTATCTCCTGTCTTCGTACTTTGTCTTTGTCGTCTAATACTTATAATATATACATATATATATCATATGCACCAAAAATTCGTCATTGGCACTTTCACGGAATAATAAACAAGTGAAATTACCTATCAAAGATGATTACAAAATTCCTCTGGAGTGTTTTATATGCATCCACGTGTACACCACTTTATCAACCCTCGAAAGACATTTAGAACAGACGAGATCCAGGAATTAAGCGGACAATAAATTAGATGAAACGGCGCGAGCTGATGTGTATATGACGCATCCTCTTAACTGTCTAACCGTCGGTCCATTTTTTTTTTGTTCATATGGAATCTTACATAATACATAGTTCTGTATTCTATTACAGTTTTTGTTTTACGTATATATCTATATATACGAAATCTCCAACTTCTTCTATTGGTATGATATTGCTGAGAGAGAAAAACCATCAAGCGTTGTGAATATATTATCGTTTTGTCTGAATCGAAATCACATCGTTTTCTGTCTATATTTTCGACAAGCACTAATGGAAAAAAGATACGAAAACATTTTATATAATATTTTTTGTTAGGGGGACGTACCATATGATGAATTGATCGCTACATATGACAAAGTACGATATTGGTATATTTTTTTTTCGTGCACTTTAACCGTCGAAAGTTGCAACATTTAGTCCAATCATTGATGATGATTCCATATGCGATTTCACGTCAGCCCATCATACGTTGTCTTTTACAATTATACATTATGCATTGTCGTTGAATTTCCTTTAATAATATACGATTTATACGAGAAAACGCAAATATCCCCCCACGTTCAACAAGTATACGATTGCGTATGTTAGTGGCCGTACCAAAACTTGTGCATGTTATAATAATACAACGATATTTTTAGAAATTAATTACACCTTTACGTTTATGTCGTACAAAACTTTTAACATATTTCCTTTAAATTTTCAACAGAAAGTTAATCCCGAAGATTATATTCGTTCATCAAACCCATTTTAGAATCCACCCATCATATCCTTATTTACTTTACGTTTCTATTTTATACATATATCATGCATCTTATTTTAAATCGAATAGAACGGACATGAGCGGCGCACATTTGATGATCCAACTTCAGTCACCATTTTTATAGTCTATGCCCCGTTTTCCATTTCCGTGACATGTACGCCCATATACCTTATATACGTATATATATATATATGTGTGTGTGTGTACGTATATTTTTTGTACGAAAAAGGGACGTATAAGTCTCAGTCACTGCCTCTTGGCCAGAGTTTTCTGAAGTCCCTTGAGAATCTTCTGGAACCACATCAAGTTCATGACCGCCAATGCCATCGGTACTACGAAAACCAGAAGATAACCGAACGTGTGCATCTGAACCACCTGCCAAATTCACATCATAACCGGGATTAACCAAACGGTCTCAGTCCTTGGGGATCACGAATTCAGAATGCAAGACTCATCCCAAAACCGGACTTAACCGGAAAATGTTCTACTACTCCTAGAAGAGGCCAAACCGTTCGGTTTAGGTTTTGGTTCAGGAAAGAAAATTATCGAAATCAAGGGCAACAAGAGATCTTTTTCTTACTTGATCATAGTGCAGGTAGACATGGTAAAACATGTATATGAACAGCAAGATTCTTGCAACCTGCAAAAACACAAGCAAACATTTCTAAACCAAACTTGAAAATAACAAATCTTTATTTCATCCTTCTTCGACTCACCAACCAAGCCAAGAAAATGGCGACGCCATTAATAAGATAGGCCTTGGACCGCTTCATACCGGCTGTGTCAAGATACCTTCACATACAGACGGAAGAAAGCGATTCAAGAAAAGGCCTCGGGCCGTGATATGGCATTCATGACAGAAGAGGACTACGGGGGAAAAGAACAAAGAAAGATTAAAGAAGAGCATCCGTACCATCTCAGATTGATTTCAGGGGTAGTCACCTCGGAGATCAAGACCATGTATATGTAAAGCTGTCCCTCCCCGGAGAACAAAGAATATGCAACTGCCACTCCTGACAGAGTGTGATGTAAAATCTGGGGAAAACCCCGTCGAAGATTACCAATTTCGTTAAAGGATTAAAGAAATAGAAAGCGGTCTACGTTCGTACAGTGCTTATGTTTGTGTTCATCACTTACATACTCCAATCCACCCAATGCCGGGTATAGCCAAAAGATGATCCCAATGTCCGCGAGAAAGTAGCCTACGGAGACCTGCCCAAAACCATCAAAACAAGAACAAAATAGCTTAATAAAGAATTATTGTTCCTGTATTCTTAATAAAGTTCAGAGAGGACACGATTTCTTGCACTGTATATCCTCTCACAAAGTTTGTAGATTTAACCAGAAGGAGTACAGCAACACTACAACATAATCTGAGTAATGACTTCTATAAACCACAGCACGGCATGCAGCATATTTTGTCTCTAAGTTAATGACTGAATGCAGGAACCTTCCTGTAGTTAAATTCCCTTCTTTCTATCAAGGAATTCAAGTAAATGGGTACACCTTCATGAAACTTTGGGTAACCCGATTCATGAGAAGCTGTTATCGTGGGGGAAAAAAAAGATTTTACCACATTACTCGGTTAAAAAAAGATATTCTGCTTAAAGTGAACTGCGTAAGACATAAGATTATGTCCGAAGGATACAATACTTACCCCCAAACCAAAGTCAGAGAGAGGGGATCTATTAAATATGACAAGGCCATCATGCCGGTGATCGGAAAACAAATCAGACCAGAACACAAAGTGCAATGCCATGAATGTGATAAAAATCGCATGGGCTGTAGAAATTCCCCTGCAAAGTTATGCCACATATCATTCTATAGCAAAGTGAATGGAGAAAAAGAAACCACAAATTGGAACTTTAAACTATTGGAACGGTTAGACACTCACCGGTTATTCCATTCAATTCTCTGGAGTTTTGTGAGGGCAGCGTATGTTTCGAAATGAAAAGAACTGACTAGCTCCGTGAGATCATAGACCTACAAATGAAAGAACATACGAGATGTGTTAAAGTTTACGGAGAATGATGAAGCCGCATGATACCAACGACAGAAACAGGAAAACAACATCGGCAAAGGTAAGAACTTGCTGGTGACAGAAGCATACCATTTTGCAGAAAAAGATTCCGACAACAACAGAAGTATATGGAATGGATTGCTCTGCTAATAGATAGTGCTTAATGAGCTCCTCGGCCTGATTCTGGTAAGCTTTGACGCTAAACGCCTGTGCTGGTAGTGTAGCCATGATGAAGTTCCTCACTTGCTCAGGCAAGACACAATGGATTTGCTTTCGAAACTCAGGCTAATCTTCTCCCGACCTCCTCGAGTGCTGGCTTCATCTTCTCTGTAAACAGAATCCCCTTGAGTCAGAGATCACACAATCTAACTCCCTACACCAACTAATTTTCATGTTTACTGCCAAATATTCAGAGAAAAACTGTTTGCTAATCACAGCCTACAAGTCATCTGCTTTCTTCTACAGGGGAAAACACAAACACCATTTAAGAAAACCCCATGAACAAGAAAGACACAGCAAAACAACCCAAGTTCGAACTGATGGGTATCTAACAACAACTATGGAACATAACTAAAATACTCAATTGACCAGAGTAAAAAGATTCACAAAAGTCAAGGAGAGATGATCCGTGTCCACCATAATATGCTATAGGAGGAATTTAAATAGTGGGTCAGTTCCTCGCATGTTTCAAATTCAGGATCTTTTAAACGTAAGGATTATCGACCTAACATTCTTCATACCGCATTATACGCATAAAGTCTGTGTCTGAAGTTCATCAGTTATGACTTACAACTACTTTCAGGATTTGACCGAACGTTCAAGCTAAGAGGTTCGTCTCTTTTGTTTCTCTCTGCCCCTCTTTCCATTTAGTTCCCCACACACATTATACACCAAAAAAAACACTCCCAAACAAATGAGAGAACTTGAAAATGGAGAATACCCGTATGAAAAATTGAACCTTTACGAATATAACTCTTAGAGACCAGAGGGCAAGGAGACCAAAGCAGAAACTTACCAGAACTTTGTTAAATCGCTGAGACCAAGAAGAAATTGAAAGAACATGGTCCTCGATATCAGAGAAGACAGAAGAAAAAGGCCTAAAATACCGAAAAGAATCCAAAAGGTTGAAGCTTTAAATCGAAAGGGACGGACCCAGAACCAGAACCAATCAATACGTGACCCCCAAATATCGGAAG